TTACAAAGTCATTTCCAAACCCTTGTTTTGTGTATGCCTCAGGTCATCACAGAGCTGACTGTTATGTACATGTGATATATAGAAGCACTTGGTTGAGCATCATTGGAAGGGACAGGGATTTCAAAGTGACTAGACAGCAATCTTCTTGGCAGGATTTTAGTTTTAACCCGTTGCATTTATTTGCATGAGTTTTAGTTGTGAACAATTAAAAGAAAAGTATCCATGGTATAAGTAAGCTATCATGTAAGTGTGTACTGATAGAAAATGAACAGGTGTTAACAGTTTGGATGTGCTAATCAAGTTCCAATTAGTTTGCTTTGCATGGCTGTGATATGAATAAAGAAAATTTTATAATCCTATCAGAGAAACTATTAGCATTTGTAACAATCTTTTAAAGAGAGATGAAAACAAAATGAAATATTTGAGTTTTGATGATAATTGGCTGATAAGCAGTTACTGATGCAGGAAATGTGATAAAATTGTAGGGATTATACTTGAATTAAGGTAAGAGATTATTCATTTAACTAAATTTTTCTTAAGAAGAGTGAGTCTGATTAGGCATTAGACATTGTTTATATTTTCGATCGATTGTTAGTTTTGTAAAAATGCATTTGAAATAGAAAAATAAATCAAATAGATTAGACTTTTAAGACATTTGAGATATTGGATTTTCTTGAATATATAATTTCAGGAATGTTGGTTACAGAATGCATATTTTAGCGTTTCAATAATTATAGTGATCAATAAGTTATATGTAAAAAGGTCATCATATGGTATAATATAATGAATGTTCGAATTGAATAATTATGGTATATTAATAATGTTATTATGTATATGTATGAGAGTAATGTTAGTATAAATATACGTGATGATAGATATCAGATATTATGGTAATAAATTAGTATTATTTTATATAAATAGTATTATAATAATATTTATATATATATTATATAAATTATATGTTGTTATATATAATGTTTAACTAAAACTAATAATTATCAATATATATATATAACTATATATATATATATATATATTATAAGTATTTATTATAATATATATAGTGAGATAAATTTATATCATCTATAATGTTAATTATAATTATATATATAATATATTTATATTTATAATATATATTATTAAATTATATTATCTAAGTAAATGATTATATATACTTATTTATTTATATAACTGATTATATATATAATGATAATATATAAATAAAGGGTATGCTAAACTCAAATTAATAGATAGTAATAATTATATAAGTGTCATATATTATATAGTAATATTTATAAGAGATTAGTATATTATATTATATACATTATTTATAAGACACGTCTCATAACATGTCTAGACAAGCATAATACTAGCTTTTTATTTATTAGTAGATAGTGCTGATTATATATATATAACTATATACTATAGATAATGTGGATAATATGCTATGAGGATATATTATTGATTAAGACTCAAAATTACCTCATAATAGTATATTTATATATTATAATTATAAGACGATAAATACACTTTATTAATTCTATATTCTCACTCAATATATATATATATAGTATATTCGACATATATATACTATATATATATTATAATATATATATATATATTAATATATATATAAATAATATATATAGTATGGATATATGATATACTATATATATATATATTAATATTATATATAGTATAACTGCTGGATATATATGAATCATATATAATATATAGTATATAAATATGGATAATTATTACTTTTTATAATACTATATACCTATGATATATGACTATATAGCGGGTAGGCTAGTTAATCGTAATATATATATAATATATATATATAATATATTATATATATTTATAATATATATATAATATATATTATATATATATATATATATATATATATATATTATTAAATATATAAGAATACCACGCGTAAACATCCTGCGACACAGCGTTCGGCACAGCACCATGGTGCACACACGCACACACACACATCCGGGACCACCATCCAAACACACTACCAACCTACAACCACACCACACACAGGCCTTCCTCACGGCTCACACTGGGTCAATGCAGTGCTGGTGATGCACATGCCCGTATCGGCCAGACGCAGGCCAAGCGAGTGGTGCGCTCACTACACCAATCAACACACACATCCATTCTGCCGAGTAACGGCACACACCACCACACACATGGCCGCTCACACCACTT